AAGGCAGACGCTTAACGACTGAGCCACCCAGGCGCCCCCATTTCTAGAACATTCTTATTACCACAACAGAAAGTCCCTACCCATTACATAATCACTCCCATGGGCCTTTGCCACCAGGTCCTGTCAATCTCTCTCTGACAAATAAATAAATAAAATCTTAAAAAAAATAAAGTGTTTACACCATTTACATATAATGTAACTACTGATAAGATTATTAGATTCATTATTTTATTTTTGTTTGTCTGCTCTTTTGTTCGCTCTTCTATTTCCGTTTTCCTCCTTTTCTTGGCTTTAAGAAATATGTTTCGTATTACAATTTAATGTCCTTATTGCAGTTTTAACTATACCTTTTGGTTGCTGTTTAAGTGGCTGTCTAGATATTATCATATACATACCTAACAGTCAAGTTAGAATTAGTATTTTACCTCTTCAATGAAATGTGGGAACCTTACAAACATATAAATGACTGTGTCCTCACCCCTTTACGTTGAAGTTGTTATATGTATTGTACCTAAGACACTTTCATGGTGTGTCAGACCCTGTGGGACTGGGCACAGGTGGGTGAGTCCTCCCCAGAAATCCTGCTTCTGCCCAACAACCCCCTGGGCATTTGGGGGTCACAGAGGGTCAGGGCTGATGGTGACCAGTGTGGGAGGGGCCTTGGGGGTGACAGGTGGGAAAATGAGGAGAGAAGGGCACCCTTGCAACTCTCCATCTGATTCCTTTCCAGGGACCCTCCCCAAACCCTCCATCTGGGCTGATCCTGGCCCCATGGTCACCAAGGGGAGCCCTGTGACCATCTGGTGTCAGGCGTCTCTGCGGGCTGATGTCTACTATCTGTATAAAGAGAGAGTCTATGAATCCTTGTCCATGAAGACCTCAGAGGATTCCAGCGATAGGGTCAGTTTCTCCTTTGCATCCATGAGCTCACACAGTTCAGGGCGATACCAGTGTGCATATCAGAGAGGGAAGAACTGGTCACAGCGGAGTGACCTCCTGGCCCTGGTGGTGACAGGTGAGAGCAGGAACTGGCCCCTCCTGTCCGGGAACCCTTCTCCAAGCAGAAGGGAACAGAGTGTGACCTCAGGAGGACCTCTCGCTCACAGCCCACATCTGGAGCATTTGCGACAATGGCCCCTTTTAACACAGCTTCCTCCTTCTCCAAGAGTGTATGGTACAAATCTTCTTGTTCATTTCTTATCAATCACTCTATCTAGATGGCAAACTGACTGAGTAATTGGAGCTTATGTTACCTTTGGTAATCCTTCCTCCTAGACAGTTTGCATGGTGGGTTGCAGAGATCCCACCATGTCATTCTTAAAAATAGATTGCTAGATTGAAGAATAGAAAGTGCTATGGAAATATATAATCCCAAGTCAGGGGCCAGAAGAAGCTGGCTGATGTGCAGGGATAAAAAGATAGACCCTGCCTTTCACTCCTCCATGTTCCTGATTCTCAGGACAAAATGAAGCCTCACATGTTTATTTTTGCCTCCTAATTAGATGGAAGGTGAGACTCTGGAGATGCTCACCTCAAGGGATTGAGATGACATTAGCTAGTTTCAGGAACTTCCTAGAGATGAGGGAAGGGAATACTTAAGCATTCCTAGGTCTCCTCAATCACAGGCTCTATTTTTGACTCTCAGGTGTAGCTGATAACCTCAGATCATCACAAAACAAGTCAGACTCCAGGAGGGATGAGTGAGGAGGAACATATATATATATACATTCTCCTT